ATTTTATTGTTAATTTTTTTTTATATTATATTTGATGGAAATTCCATTTAGATTGATTTTCTATAGATATCTTATGAGAAAAAAATACAAATTACAGGTACTCGAAATAAATAAAGATGTCATAAGAGACAGTTTAATAAAATAAAAGCCAAATTTTTATTTATCTACTTTTTATTCGAGTATAGAATGAAAGCTAATTATTAATAAATTATAATAAATTAGAAAAGTCGTGGAAATAATTACATAAATGAAATTGATTTATAAAAACGAACTGATTGCATCGCCGGCGACTGTATTGGCGCGTTACTGATTCGCAAAGTGCTTAAAGTAGGATTAACATTGTAAATTAAGTCATATGTAGGGAATATTCGAATTTCCATAAGCATGGAACCTTGAGCCAAAGTACACATACCGTTTTTAGGATTTACGTACATGTATATGTATTGTATTTTATTGTACATCCTTATAACACGGTTATAAATTATGGCTATCTATTTAAATGTAAACAAGAAATATATGTCAGGTTGAAAGAATATTTTTTAATATATCAAAGTCTTATCTTATCATTGAGAAAAAGAAAAAGCTGAGTGGACCGAATTTGTTCATTAAACTGTGCGTTCATGATTTATCCTTGGGGATGCTTGCGAATATTTGCAATATTTGCAATATTGGTTGCGTTCAACAGAAAATTTATTTTGCAATTATTGGAGACTTTCTTCAACTTCTTGTTTGAATTATACTTTTAGATCTAGGCTGTATTCGAGGAACACGCTATCAACGCTATTTGTATCGTACTATCCTTGTTTCATGTTTAATGATGATTAAGATAGAATGACACTAATAGCACTAATAGCGTATCCCCGAACCCAGCTTTAGAAATGGTCCTATCTCAGCACACAATCATAAAATGATTGCAAAACTATTGTGTTCTACTGAACACAACTTGATTACAATTAATAGCTGAATCATACAATCAGACACAATACTAATATATTTCACTCTTCTATTTACCTATTATAGGTTTAATTATGGATTTGATTATAGACTTAATGCTCCTGTTTGCTCATCACTACTATCTCAATTTGTGACATCACAAAATAATACGTGTAAAAATAAAGAATTAAATAATACATGCTGCGGGCACGTATTATGGAACTTCCTTCCTTCCTCTTTAATTGGCCTGCGCCCTTTGTACCGAGGCGATTTGGCCATTAACGAATTAATGGTCTTCGAAATGACTAATCTGTATATAGAAATGCAAGGCACCGGCCAACTCGAACCGGACAAAGAGAATCTCGAAACAGGATAATATAAGCCAAACAAAAAATGACAAAACGACCTTCCAGACTTTAGATGCCTGTGTCTATAATAGTCTACGACGCTTCTGCGCCGCATGAACGCGCGTCCAGACAAATAAAGGGATTGAAAGTTAGAAGATACAAATGCACAGTCAAAGTCAGCCACGCTTTACAAAAGATAGTTGAGGTGACGTAACACCCGAAGCGAGAAACACGTTCAACGTACTCGCTCGGGTGGTTTCACGAGATTATTATTGCGAACTGTTTTGAAATAGATTCCAATGGAAATTATTTCGTTTTCCATAAAACATAATAGAAATTTAGAAAATAATCGAACTACAAATCGGAGTCCATTCCGAATAATTTTATAATACGTACTCAGAAGCAAAAAAATACAATAAAAATTCTTGCAAATATTAATATATAGAAGTGTATTTCAATAAAACACTCGAAATATACCATAACTTTCCTTTTGTTTTGTTGGTAAACAATTAATAAAATTAATAAATAATAAGACATATATAGGCTACATTCTAAAACGTGCTCTTTGAGGAAAATTTGTGGAATATAGCTCTAGAAATGATGAACAGAGAGCCAGAGAGAAATCTTAAAGAGGACATAAGGATTTTTTTAATTGCTGTAACGCAAAATGCTCCTAGAGTCCCTATACCAACGATTCAGCAAACGAGAATAGATTGAAATGAATTGAAATGTATTCAGATTTTCAGAAATATTGATTCACGAATGTTAAAATGAATGTTTTTCAATTCTGAATGCATTTTTATTCATTTATAGGAATTGCATGGAGCATATCTCTATGCCTTTCAATCTAAAAATAATATTAGCTTTTTCTGTGCATTGAGAATACTGTTCAATTCAAAATTTTGAATATGAAATGCAGTTTTTCAATCTAATTAAATCTAAAAAAAGTATTCGCTATTTAAAATACGCATTCGGATAAACAAAAATTTCAATCCATTTTAATCCATTCTCGTTTGCTGGGTAGTGAACCAACCAGAAAACCATATTAGCATCTTAAGACATTGCTTGAGATAACGGACTATGATTTCCGACCTTAGGGAGTTTTAAGTGCATTCGGTAGTCGGTATTACGCTGAGTTTGACTGAGCGCTCAATGAGCTCTTACATTTGTTTAATTGTACTTTTAGATCCAACGAAATATGCCAATTAAATGCAGGAGCGCTCAGTATAAGTGATGTCGAGTTTATAAAAAAATGATCATTAAATACATTTTTCACCAATATATATTTCTTAGCTTTTGTTTTTATTTTAAATTTTTGAGTTAATATTTAAGGACTAGTTAATAACGATTAGTTATTGAGACATAATAAAAGAAGTTCCATTTATTGTTTATAATATTGATTGGGACTATAAATAAACGGAGCATTTTCTATATCAAATGATCAAATATCACAGATCTTTTGTTCGTAAGTTTTAAAAAAATTGAGAAATTTTTAATCTATTCGCTGTGCAATATATTCGATATAATGTCTATTCATTCGGAATGAATATAGATAATTTTAAAATATCTGAATATATTCATAGTCGATATTTTTGCTCGATATTGACATGTCTAATTTCATTCTGTCGTACTGCTCTCATCGAAATAGAAAGAGAAACATCACGGGTCCTAAACGCCACATAAACTGTCAATTTCCGACTTCAAGCTACATAAAATGGGTGCATTCAGTACACAGATATCTACTAGTACTAGATCGCTAATGTCTCCTGCACATAGAACGCTGCATAATACTTGCCGCGCGGCGGAAGTTATCGCACTAACCAATAATTCTATGTTCTTAAGTCGGCCTCACCATGCAAAACTTCTAAAAATGATGTAATATTATTTCCGGCGCACGGCAAAAGTTGGATTGAGTTCAACTTCCGCCGCGCGGTAAGCGTTGCCGCGTTCTGTGTGCAGAAGACATAACTTCTAGACATAACACTAAAATGTTGTAAACGGCCGGATATCCGGTTGAGTTTAAATAATTGCTCCAATCATTTTGCTCATCATACACAATACATACACACATCGTACACATGTATTTAACATACATAAATGAAAGGGGCATTGCCTATACTCGCGCTGATGCAAAAATCTGTTCGAGAGAAAAAGATAGTAAGGGTTAAATGTTCCCAATGCGCCGGGATCGGTTCCGGCATTCCTTGTTCAAGTACCGCGTGTGGAGTCGGAAAGTAGGGGGAGTCGATTCTGTATCTTCAAATAAGATAAAATTTACAAAAATTTACTAAGTACAAATTTACTGAGAGCAAATTTACTAAGTGTTGACCAATGAAATTATCAGTATTCTAGTAAATTCGCTCACTTTTGTAATTTTCATCTCGTTTTAAGATACAGAATCAATTCAGGGATTCAACTACAATGATGGACAACAGGAATGAAGAACAGACGCATGCGATTTATCAATATTTGCCTTTTTCTCGCACAGATTTTTGCATCAAACTTAGCGCTCTATTCCCCTTCTAGTTATGTATGTTCTAAGGTTTAGGGTGCGATTACATGGAGCGCGGTACGCGGTACAGTAACTAATAGTAACTAATTAGGCAACTAGGGAACCGCGTACCACGTACCGCCCATTTCTTTCGCTGATGTTATACATGGAGCGCAGTTTGCGGCACGGGCTAGTGACAAACTCACTTAATAAGAATTTTTCTAAATATATTAACTTATTTTTATGTACACTTTATCGATAGTTTTATTTTTTTAAGTAGATTTACTTAATAATTGCGTTTAAATTAATTAATTCCATTAAAAAGTGCATAACAGTGCATAGTAACGTGAGTTTGTTACTAGCCCGTGCCGCAAACTGCACTGCTTTCCAATTTGCTTAGTTAGTTACTATTAATTACTGTACCGCGTACCGCGTACCGCGCTCCATGTAATCGCATCCTTAAGCTTTTATCTTCTACGCAATCAGCAGCAGCAATAGCGCAACTATTTAAATTCTAATCACATTAAATTAACAAATAAGTTCAAAATGTATAAAGTAACTGCAAAGTAATTCAAATTAGTTACTAATAAAATGTAATTAAGTTAAGTTATAATTGGAAAAAAAAGAATGAAGTTATACTGAAAAAAGTAAGTCAAACTGTAACTTAGTTACGAGTAATTAGTTACTTTTCAATCTTGTAAATTATTTATTATTGGATGGGTGGCCGTTTTGGAACAATACTATCTGACAAATCTTTTTTAATTTTTTTTGCATAATGAAACATACATTTTATCGCCTTATTTTCTTGTGTACTATTATCAGTGTATAATAATTATAACAATTATAATAAACGAAAACGTTTTGTATAATTGATATTTATGAAATAGATTAGAAATAGATTTTTTAAGTTAGCCTTTCAATATGTATTTTTTTTATAAAAGGAAATATATTTAAACGCATTAAAAAGAATAGAAACCTTATAGACTTAACTAAAATTATAATTTAACTTATATGTGAATTGATCTTAATAATAAATTCTACATCTATTTAGGGACCCAAAACATAATCAAACAGAAATTATAATAATAATATGCTACATTATCTTAATTATATAATCCAAATGTTAAACCAAAATGTATGTATATAAGAATAAGTATAATTTATCATAAAAATAATAATCATTGTATAATTAATATAACCATAAATAATATTTTCATGGTCATGTATTATGTATATTAATTAACTAAATTATCTATAATGTATAACGAGAAAAAATAAAATATAATCATTTAACATACACTTTTCATTTACACTTTTTGACACTTATATTTATCTTAATGAGATTGTAAAGGTATCAGAGTATAACGATAATGGTTTCTTTTACCAAATTTTACACATTTACATTTTTGTTAAAGCCATTGATTCAAACAATTCAACAAATAATACAATTCGGCTTTTCTTGTACGTTCCCATTGGCTTTCTCGATCTCCTTTAGTAGTGTGTGAAAAATATCTGCAACAGACTACGGAAAATGCGTTCAATAAAAATTTCGCAATATACTTCGAGATTGGAAAAGCATCTGTAGATACCTCATTTTGTTTTGCACTGGTTTCTAGAAATGCTGCATTCCAAGAGTTTGCTAAACGTTTTCCCTGATCTGTCGTGATCATGCGATCAACATACAGATCTGTTTTATTACCCACTAATACGATCGGAACACTATAAAACCGAAGATGTTATTCAACATCTATAAATGCTGAATGAATGAACATCGCACAAATATTGAGCATTTGAGAACTTGGATACTTACTGGAGTTTTCCAGTAATGTCGAGTAATTTGTCATAAATAATTTGTACAATCTCAAAACTCTTTGCACTGGTTATGCTATATACTAGAACATAGCCATGAATATCCATCGAATACTGAGTAGGAAATATACTATATTCATCCTGACCAGCTGTATCTACTAACTTGAGTTCATAATCTTGACTATTTACTCGTGTACTTTTTGTGAACGCTGTAACGTGCGAAACTTGTAATACTTTTAAATTGCATAATGCATTCAATTTCTATAAATTATAGATTCGTAGAATAAAATAATAGAATAGAATAAAATAATAAAAACTAGAAAATGAGAAAAGTATTTCTTACTATTTTCTATTGTAGGATCATATGAGTCTACAAACTGTCCCTCGACAAATTGTATACTAAGAGATGATTTACCTATTAAAATTAAATATATATTAAATACATATTTAATTTAAGTAAATATATAAATGTATCTTTCTGTTATATAATGTTAAAATGTTTCTTTTCTCAGTTATATAATGCTAATCATGTCTTACTATAAAAAGTTTCAAGTTATATTCCATAGATAATAATAGGTACAGACTGTGATATCCCATAAAGGTTGTAACTATCAGTTTAGAATGTGTGTAAATTAGCTTAATTTTTATTACATACATACATACATTTTCTCTCTCTCTCTCTCTCTCTCTCTCTTTCTCTCTCTCTCAAGTATCAAATTGAAGAAATTGTGTGTGTATGTGCTGATACAATTAGATGACTGTTCTCTTTCAAACAAAATACAGACATCAAGATCAGGAAATGTCTATACCTACTATAATCTACAATATATCCATGCAAAAAGGATATCTTATCTTATCATATAACATATGTCTTACCTACAAATCTATAGCCCATAATAGCTATTTTCCTCTGTTTTGGTGGCATGTTGTAGCATTTACGAACTGAAAAGCAGCAAGTATATTCAATGAAAGCTGATGCATAATCCAGCTAAAACCTGTGAACAAAGGAAGATTTTATATCTAGTCTGGAAATCTTCTCACGTTCATTAACATCTTAGAATTGTATGGTGATAATGAATTTGCTAGACACATCTTATACTAAAGAATATTTTTTGCTTTAGGAAAAATAAATTGAAAAAAAAACAGCCGAAACATTACATAAACCAGTCTGGACACATTGTTTAGCTACATTACACATATTTATGTAATAATATGTACTTTCTACTCTCTCTCTAACAATGAAGTAAATTTTGATGTTATTGACAATGAGCTACATACATTATATCCTCATAAATCTGATCAATAATGGATTGTTGATCTCATCATGATGTAAGAAGACATGATGGATCTCATAATCTTATGAGAAACATGTCGCAATGAAAAGAAAAAATTAAACAGAAAAAGAAAGTTGGGATACACACATGCATCTCAGAAGTGCATCTTACATCGATATACAGCATCCCTTAGATTATGAAGCAGTGATGTTTCTCTGAAGAGTCGTACATAAATCGACAGACCTTTGTAGTTCGTACTTTGTGCCAGAGGAAAAATATCGCTCGGAACTACGCATCGTTTGATGCATGTAATGTATTACGCGTAGCGTATGTATATATGTGTGGTATGTATATATGTGCTATGTATGAAGTGGAAGAGAAAAAGAAAGATAAAGGAACGGTAAGAAAGGGAAAGAGTGCGAGATGACGTCAATAACTTTTATATACCCAAGCATCATGTTTCACGTTTGATTTGATCTGAAGTCCATTATTTCCGGATGACGCATTCAGCAGTCAGCCACGTTTCGACTTTCGACAGTTCGACGGCCGTTGCTGGTCGTTGCTGATGCGGGACGGATATGGATCAGTAGCAGTCAATCAATGCAAGTCAATGTTGCTGTTGGGCAGTATCGAGGCGTTTCCTTCTTCTAATTTAATGGCGCTCGCCGACGGAATAACGGCGATTCCGGCCAAATCGTGATGTTGTAAATTGTGAATGGAATACCCATGGCATAAGAATACAAGGTGATATAAGGTATTCCATTTTCAACTCACAAGGATGCGCAGTCGTCTTGAACATAGCTCTCTGACCAATCAAAACGTTATCTCAAATTGTAAGGGTAAAATCACACGGTACAACCAATTAGCGCTATTCCGCACTTTCCATCACGCAAGTTTTGTGTACTATGTTTACATGGTGCGTCAAAGATGCATCTAGGATGAATATAATTTAAACACTACTTATAATTTTATGTTAATAATTTACTTATTAAAATGATATATAATATAAAAAAAATTATCACTATGTGGTATTTAATATTTTACAATTAATATTTTTTATTTAGCAGACTAAACAGTTGAGTAAGCGCTCGCTGTTATTGATATATTCTTTTAAATCTTCCAATTAGCATTTTAGATCTGGAAGAATACATCAATAGCAGCGAGCGCTCACTTAATTGTTGAGTTCGCTAAACGCAGCCATTATTACGTCCACTGAACGCAGCTCATAAGGCCTAATGTCCATGATGCTAGAACTCGGTCCGAGTTCTCGGATCGAGAAATGTATAGCTAATTAACTTACAATTTTTACGGAAAACCGGCAAGTTGATTGGCTATACATTTCTTGATCCGGAAACTCGGACCAAATTCTAGCATCGTGGGCATTGGGCCTAATAATTTTTTGAACTGTTTTAACGCATTTATTATCATTTTTCCTTATCATGTGAACAAGAGCGCGATTCCATAAGGACACTCTACAATGGTATTATTTATGTTTCTGATTGGTTGTCGTGACAAATATTTCAACCGACAACGGGTCGTTGCAAATACCCGTTGTCGGTTGAAATATTTGTCACGACAACCAATCAGAAACATAAATAATACCATTAACGCTTTTAATTAATTGTCATGACAAACATTTCAACTGGCAACAGTTGTTTGCAACGCATTGTAGAATGCCCTTAACTGTCTTTACATGCCTACCGACAGTTGTCGTTGCGCCGATATTTTATATGATGAAAAGGCTGCGCAACGATACCGACAACTGTCGTTAGACGTGTAAAACAGTTACGGAATTGCGCCCCAGGGCACGTTAAAATCGCACGTAATGCGTCATTAGGTTGTTCACGTCGTATACTCCATAGATATAATAAAGCGGGGAGCACAGACTCTTGCATAGTGTATAACACGTAATGCATAAGAAAATAAACCAATTAAAGTCCTTTGTTTCCTTCCTTTCGATGAAATAAAGAATTCTGATTGATTGAATTTTTTACGCTTTATGCGTTATGCGTTATTCAAGAGTCTGTGGTCCCCGCTTAAAAATGGATCGTGCGCGAGGTTTGAAACGTAAAGTTTATTTGTCACTAGTCCGTGCCACTTACTGCGCTACATGTAAGGGTGATGTCCCATGCAGTGGATCGTGCGTAAGCGGATTCGCGTATCACTAATCACAGAATTATTCTCTTAAATCTGCTTGCGAAATTTACAAACAGATCTAAGAGAATGATTCTGTGATTGATGATACACGAATCCGCTTACGCACGATCCGTTGCATGGGATATCACTCTAAGGGTGCGATTACATGTAGCGCGGTACGCGGTATGCGATACAGAAACTAATTAGGTAACTGTAGGTATCGTGCAAACCGTGCCACTTGCTTCTTTTCCCTTATATTACATATAGTGCTAGTAGCAGCACGGGCTAGTATTATAAATTTTTTAAAATATATTTACTTACTTCTATGCATATTTCATTAATACTCTTATTTTTTCAACGGATTTACTTAATAATTGCATTTAAATCAATTAATTCTATTAAAAAGTGTTTAGTAACGTGAATTTATTACTGGTTCATGCCGCTCACTACGCTACGTGCGACACGCGATATATTCAATGAGAATATAATTTTTAAAATAAAAACATCGGTAAAGTTGTACACTCGTTAGATATCGCATGTCACGCGCGACGAACATCGCGCTGGTGTGCCGGAAGCATAACACCGTAGCACAGTATAATCATATCCAGTAGCGACAGGGAACTTTTTTGTAATATGCAATTTTTAGTGCGCATGTATCGGTTTGTACATTTAGAAATATGGCGGACGTATTAGAAGCTTAATAAAAATTCAAATTTGAGAGCCTGTCCTATCATAACTCTACTGTAGCCTAGTTTCCACCGAGGATTTAATCCGGGTCAGAATATAAAAATCAACCAACTACAATCGAGTATTCCCCTGTTACAGTCGAACGACAGAGGAATGTTCGACTATAATTGATTGGTTCTTATATTCTGATCCGGATTAAACCCTCGGTGGAAACTAAGCCTGTGTACACTTCATAACATGACAGTGAATCATGTGAACACTTACATCAAAGATGCCGACGTTCAATGTCGCTACTGGGTATGATTATATCATAGACATAGAAGATAGACCCAGCATCTATAGTATATGCTGGGTTTGGCCACAGTGCATACAGTAGCGCAATTCCCTGTCGACACCTTTGAAGTTAGTGTGGCCAAAATGGAGTGCGCATGCGCGAAATAATCAAGTTACCTAGGTTACCATGATTACCACCTAAACTTCTTTCTCTTTTCATCCTTTTTTCGTTCTGTCAAAACTCACTAGAATTATTCGTTAGTAAGAGCTATTATAGAACCATATTAGAGCATGCAACGCGAATAAACCTACTATTACAATTAAATAATCTAATGAATGATGAATAATCATTATATATTATTCTTTTTTTTCACAATTTTTTGGAGTTGACACAGCACTTGAAACAGAGAGCTAAGATCAAAGTGCTCTTCCAAGAGCTAACCTATATAATTATATAAGTTAACTATTCTCTCAAAAAGAAAACTTTTTTGCTTTTCTTCTTTATTTTCGTTCACTTTTTCACTTTACTTCACTTTTTCACGAGACTAGTCTCTTGAGATTTTTTACACAACATTACCAAATGGACAATGTAGGTTATATTTCCCTCTAAATTTCTGTTCTCAGCTCTTTAAATGGAACATTGAAACAGTCATGTAAATAGAAAGAGAGCAATAAAGAAGGAGGAAATGAGACGGGGCAACTTGCTTATTTCGCGCATGCGCACATTTTGGCCACGCAAAATCAGAGTTGCGCTACTGTATATACTGTAGTTTGGCAGAACGGTGCGAGAGGCAAAATATCGGGGCAACCTGTCCTTCTTTACGCGCGCATCTTGACATTCTTGACAAAGTCAAAATGACTGACTACGTTAGAATCGTTTGTATTCTTTGTCCATTGTTATAATTGTGTTACTTTGCGTCACTCAGTATTAATAATTGTTTATTCGCGCTCCTTTAAAAAAAAATTGAACATGAAGACATGCAGCGCATGTGGGTATCAAAAGAAACCTGGTGGACAGGAAAAAATATTCTTTCACATGTAAATAAAACGAGTGATTTTGAAAGAATCCTGATGACAAGGAGAAAATATCCTGTCACATATAAATGAAGCATATGTTTACGTGTTGTATGCATGTACATAAGTAGAGGTTAAAATGTTTTACTTACGTGTGAAAGGATATTTTTTCTCTGTTCGCTAAATTTCTTTTGATGCCCACATGCGTTGCACGTCTTCATATTTAATTTTTTTTACAAAAAAAAACGCAATACTAACAGTTATTAATAATGAGTTCAAAGAATATAGACAATTCTAACGTAATCAGCCATTTTGATTTTGTCAAGATGCGCGCGCAGAGAAGGACAGATTGCTCCGATGCTATTTTGCCTCTCGCACCGTTCTGCCAAATCCAGCATATACTATAGAAAAGTATATAGATGCTGGGTCTATCTTGTATGTTATGAATTATACTGTGACCGTGATCTGTGATTATGTTATGGTGTTGATTGTATGTTATGTATCTGTGCTTATTTAATGAATTAACTCCTGCTGTTCGTATAATCTGAAATTAAGGAATTTTAATTGTATCGAATCTGGACTTGGGAATCAGGTGCTATATTAACAAAAAAAGAAGAGAAAGTGCCATTCATTTATATTCGAACGATGTTGTGGGATGATGTTATTTATGTACTATTGCTATTACTTTCCATAGTGTTCGGGCCGTTTTATTGTAAAATAGAAGGACTTCGTACAAAACAATGGGTCGCGACCCTTTTCGGCTTCGCATTAGTTGTCTGTGTTTCAGGACTGTCGGTCTTGCATCCAATCGTTACCGTTCTCATCAACGCAGTTATCGTAACCAACTTATCATGGAAGTACGAATATATATTTTTTTTAACTAAATCTTTTTTTATAAAATTGACTTGCATTTAGAGTATTGCTCACTGATTCTGCTAAAATTTTACGTAAGTATGTATTTTAAAATACAAAATTTGTGTCTAATAATCTTTTTTTAATAATTTAAACTATATATGATGTTAAAGTTTAGAATTTTTTTCATGAAATTTTTATATATTTTCAGTGCTTTCTGATATACATATGTACCCAGATAATCAGATGTGCCGAAATTACCTACTACAAATTTATGTTACATATGTTGGCAAAAATCAGGCAGTAGTCAATTTGTCATTTCAACTAGCGTTAACAAAAATATAGCAAAAATTCTGCAGAAACTGCATCATAACATAGTAAAAAATAATATATTATAAAAATTTATTAAATAATTCAGCATAAATAGAACAAAATTCAAACATTATATGCTGACACGTACAATATATAAACAAAAAATAAACAAAAGCTAAATTTAACATGTCATGTTAAGTTAGAAAAATATATTTACAAATGTGGCATATTGCTATCACATGTGAGAATAATAAAGCAGCAGGAATACTATACTGATTTATCATATCAAATACTGACAGCAAAAACAACAAAAATTAAGCATAGCCTGCCACCACAAAGTAACTGTCCAAAATGGCATATTGCTATCACATGTGAGAATGATAAAGCAGCAGGAATACTGTACTGATTTATCATATCAAATACTGACAGCAAAAACAATAAAAATTGAGCATAGCCTGCCATCACGAAGTAACTATCCAAAATGCAGCATATATGTATTGCAATATATGTTGTGATCTGCTGTTTTTATCAGCTGTTAAAAACAAAAATGTAGCAGAAATCATCCATACAGCACAGAATTTACAGTAATATCATTGCAAAATCTACAATATTGCTACAACATACAATATTGCTGTAATGCAGCAGTGTTGCTATAACTTTTGTGTAACTTTGTGCTGTGCATAATAACGTCATATGTAATTCCAAAAATGTAACAAAAATTCAAGAAATAATAATATGTTAATATACAAATAATTATTAGTATTTTCAGATTAGTAAAGTAAATATATCTAGATAGTCAAGTCTGCCAAGATCATGTATTACAATTTGTATTGTCACGTACTATGTTGACAGAACTCTGGCAGTAGTCACAATAATCTGTCAAGTATCAATAAAAATACAGTAAGAAACGAGCAGTTCCAAAAAAAGTATCAAGATATATTATTAAAAATCCTGCAAAAATTAATTAGAATTAGCATAAATTAGTAGATTCTGAACATTACATGCTGACACAATGTGTCATCAAACACTAAACCAAAACTGAGCATAACGTGATATCATTTATACAGGGTGTCCCGCGATACTTCTCCAACCGCCCACAAAAAGGTAGATGGGATCGAAATAAACATAAAAGTCCTTTATCATTTAGCAATATTCGTAATAATAATCGTGTAATAATAATATTAATCTTTGCAATTGTACTAATGAGAGCGCGCCGATAGAAACGCTCCAGCCACTCGAGATATACTGGCAAATGCTCCATAGGTATCCCATCGGTGTTGGATGCAAAAACGCTTTCCTTGTTCAGGAGCGCTCGAACTCCGCACTGTGGTTTCTGCGGTTCCCAACAGATTTTGGTGCTTCGCCGAGTTTCTTCCTATGATCCTTTGTAGCCAATTCTGTGAAGGGTGCATTCCGCCACTCCTTAAAGCGAATCGATTTCGGTATATGTTATTTCGAGAAGCCAACCGCGTAATTATGACTCCTTTCCAAGTTTAAAATTTATTATACAAATACTAATTTAACAAATATATTCATAAGCAATAAAAACTTTTACTAGTAAACACATACATTTTCATACTTGTTTAACAAGTACCCATAAGTAAAAATACATCAATGAAACTTGCTAGCAAATGAGCACACAGCATGCTGGGGTGTGCTGTGTGACATGCACATATATATATTTTTTGTATTAAATCTTTGTCTTACTAAATAAATGAGTCTACAATATACTAAATATAATGAAAACTAAAAAGATTAAATAAAGTCCTCAGTAAGGTAGAATGTATCATGTAATACAAGCAAAGCTATAACATATATTAGGTGTAGTAAAAAGTCATCGCGTATTTTTTAGCTCAAAGTTGTACATATATACAATATCTTCGTCAATAATGAATGAAATTCAAATTTAAAAAAAGGGTTTTAAAGCTTGAAATCTCTACTTTTAAAAGCTTATCACATTTTTTAAGTTTATATGAGTTTGATAATTTTTACATACCAAAAACTACGAGCTGAAAAAGACGAAAAATTTTCTTCTCACTTTGTGGATTTGTAA